GTCAAGGACACTTGGTCCCGAGCCTCTTTTTGGGGTTATCCGTTTGGAAAGGATTGTAGAGGCCCCATTTCAAGAGTTGTGTCTCATTTTGGAGAGGTGTGCATTTAATTTATCGCGGATGGTTCTTTATAGTAGAAAAAGGCCGTATGGTGCTGCTGGTCTCTTCCCAGAGACTCCTACTCGATGCCCCATTCTTGCCAAGATGAATGTTATTCAATATCTTATGCGGGGTATTTTAAAAATACTTCAGTTTCTTCATGAAGAGTGCCATATTATTCATCGAGATGTGAAGTTGGGCAACTTGCTTGTTGGGGAAGATGGACGCGTACGTCTTGCAGACTTTGGAAGCGCTCGATTTATGCATGAGGCGGTGGAGAAGATGTCTGATGCGAGATCCGGGGAATACACACCCATATCTCTTCGGACGACCGTGATTTACCAAGCTCCTGAGTGCCTGCTGGGTGAGCGGTCCTACACAGCGGCGGTGGACATGTGGGCAGCCGGGGTTGTGTTTGCGGAATTGCTCTTGCAGCAGCATCTTTTTCACAGCTGCAGCGAGCTGGCGATGCTCTCTGACATTTGGAAACTTCTTGGCACTCCATCGGATGATCCATCGTTTTCCAGCGGCGAGGGGGCTGTTACATACGCCATGCGCACAGAATCGACCATTGCACGGAAGTTTCCCGAAAGAATTGTTTCCGCAGAAGGCCTAGACCTGCTTAAACGCATGCTTGAGACCAACCCGAAGAAACGCATCACCGACTCGGAGGCCCTTCGTCACCCCTTTCTTTGCGGTCCCGCGGTTGAGTCGGGTATGGAGGAGGCCCGACGGTTGTGGAATAAGAAAGTGGAGGCCTGCATGCAGGAGACGGTGGCGCAGCCTGCTGCAATGGGAATGCGTTCGTTTTATGTGGACAATGTTGAGTTCGATGAGGAGAGTGGCGAGAATGATGATGGCGATGGTGGGATTGCAACGTTGCCAACATGTCTTGATTGTTTTCCACACATTTTGTCCGACGTTAACGGCGGATATGATATTTGAAACGAATTTTTGGAGGTGAAAAACAAACAAACAACAAACAAAAAAAAAAACAACAACTGAAAATGGCTACAACCACTCTGTTAAATGAGCTTTTCTGTGTTTTTAGGATAAGTCAACATTTTTGTTCAGTAGGTGCTTACTTTTTTCTTGAAGTTTTATATTTAAAGTTTTTTTTTCATTATTTCCTTTTATATCTTTTTTGTCATTTTGCTTTTTTTCCCCCCCTCTTTTGTATCCGTCTTTTTCTCTGTTTGTGTGTATTGGGATCCCATTTTGAAAATTTTTTTCTTTTTTCTACCCCCATTTTTGTTGCCTTTCTTTCTCTCTTTTTCTCTCCCTCTCTTTCTTTGCCTTCTTCGATAGCGTGCGCCAACAGTTTGCCTTCACCAGCAAAGGGGGCGGAGGTGTGGGGGTGGGGTTTTAGGATTACGTAATTTTAGGAATACGTGAGGCATTGTGGCATCCGTATGCATTACCGCACGCTTGGAGTCAAGCGTCGGGCGACGCAAGAAGAAATACGTAAGGCATTTCGCTCCGCGGCTGTGCGAGTGCATCCCGATAAACCCGATGGGTCTGTCGAGCTCTTTCAGTCTCTACAAACCGCGTATGAAGTGCTGAGTAATGAAAAGAAGCGTGCTCTCTATGACGCGGAGTTGGCGAAGAAAATGAGTAAGCTGCGTGGGTTTAAGCGACCTCCCCCGCTTGATAATATTCGTCTACCAGTACACTACAAATTGGCGGACGATGAGTACTACGCATTTGAAACGGCTCCGGATTGCCTGAAATGCTCGTTTAAACATGGCGATATAATCAGCTGGAATAACAAGTTGGGCTGCTTCATCGGTCTTGCAGGTGACAACTTTTTGTACTGGCGTCAGGACGACCAAACACATGCATCCAAATTGTGTCAGATGGGAAGTTTTGGGATGGGTGGTATAAAAGTTGTGGTGCGTGCCAACTTTATGCTTGCACGTGGGAGGTTCACCTCCTCGTCCTTGCCTTCTCGTTCTGCTGATACCGCCAATTCAGGAACTCACCGACAAGTGGCGGGAAAGCAGCATGATGACGCTGGAAAAAGCGCTCCAGTGACTCATGGGGAGGCGATGAAAAAGGGCCGGCCTGGCCGGCTCTCGGACGCAGAGAGACTGCGGCGAGATATTATGCGGCGGGAGCGGGAGCGTTATTACTGGGAAAGCATGGCGGCGCTTGCGGAGAAGGAGGAAAAACAGCGCGTGCGCTTGATAGAGAAAATCGAGGCTGATATGGAGGATGAGCGGCAGAGCTTCAGGAACTGGCTGGAGGCAGGTGGCGTTGCCGTAGGGGGGGAGGAGCCTGCATGGGTCAGACACGCGAGGCGACACGCGTTTGGGAAATGATCCTGATTTCAAAGTGAGCGTGTTGGATTTTAGAAATCAGGCGTGAGGAATTGTTGTGGGGCGCTGTTGGAAGAAGAAATAATAATAATAAAAGGTTGAAATTTACGAACGGTGGGAGAATGCACGGGGCGTGGGAGCGCTTCAACCCGTTCATATGGTACTAGCAGAAAAACAACAACAACAAAAGAGGGATTGTGTCTCTCTCTGTGCCTATTTGTATGAGGAAACTGTAAAGTATAGAAGAAGTAACAATACAAATTTGCATGTGAGTTGCGGACTGCCGCATGAAGTGCGCTGGATGAGAGCTTCCCCTTCCTTTTCATCAAGCCTTCCTTTATATATGTGTACACGTCTCTGCTTTGGATGAGAAAATGCGCCGCGGCCGTTCTACTTGGGGAGAGGGGCAGTAATATTAAAATGGTACTGCTGGGCCAAGCCTCGTGTTTTTTTTTCTTCTTTTTTTTATTGTGTACAATGACGTTGCTGCTGCTATTTATAATGGGAATGACACCATCTACCACCTGCATGCGAATCGACAAACACACACACACACACACACACACACACACACACACACACACACACACACACACACAGAAAAAAAAAAAGAAAAGGGCGTTGTGGTGGGAGGAAAGGAGTGTGGATGATGTTTGACTTCCTTCACACATTGATTCTTTTTCTTTTGTGTGTATGTTGGATGGGACCACGTGTAATGTCTTCTGGGAATTTATCACATTTTTTTTTACTTTTTTTCTTTTTATTTCTTTGCGATTTTCTTTTTTTTTTCTTTTCTTTTTTTTCTTTCTCCCTTTCCCTTTTTTTTTTTATTTTTGTTTTCTCTACCTCTGTTTTTTTCTTTTTGTTTATTTCTGCTTTTCATGTCCATCTGGCCGAGTTATATGGTTAGGGGCGGGGGCAGGCAAGGCGAATTGTGTTTTGCCTCCACTCACTTTACCTGCCAATGACCGTGGACACAACACTCTTTTGCTTCGAGACAAACAGGGGCCCGAGGACACGGCATGACCACGACGGGGATCATTGCCACCATGCACGGAGGCAACAGGCCCGTAGCGGTTTGTTTCACCTCCCGCATGGCCCACTGCGCACACCCATCTTTATGCCTGTTGCGACACAAGCCGCGCTAAAAGGCGTGACGGTGGAGCAGCTGGAGGAACTCGATGTGGAGATTATTCTCGGAAACACGTATCACTTGGGACTGCGACCCGGGGAGGACGTTCTTAACGAGGTAACAAGGCTGAAGAATGTCCAGGAGAGCGCTGCAAAAGGGAATGAGGCACATGAACCGCAGCCCTTGCGGATACGAAACAACATGGATGGGATTCATTTCTTACAGGGATGGCGACGGAATATTCTTACCGACAGCGGCGGATTTCAGATGGTGAGTTTGCTGCGGCTTGCAAAAATTACCGAGGAGGGTGTGCGCTTTCAGTCCACTCACGGTGGTAATGGCGGGGGCGTACAAATGGTTCAAAACAATAATAACAATACTAATAACAGTGGTAACAACAATAACAATGTGGCTTTTAATAGGACGGAAGAATGCATGGAGTACACACTGATGTTGCGGCCAGAGGATAGCATTCGTATTCAAAATGCCATTGGAGGTGATATCATGATGCAATTGGATGATGTTGTGCATGTTCTCACAACTGGGCCTCGTGTGGAAGAGGCCTCTAAGCGTACTGTGCGTTGGTTGGACCGATGCCTTTCTGCCAACATGAATCCAGATAAGCAAGGTATATTTGGCATTGTGCAGGGTGGTCTGGATGCTACGCTACGGGCAGAGTGTATTGCGGAAATGGTCAAAAGGACCGCATGTAAGGGGTATGCCATAGGGGGTTTAAGTGGTGGGGAGGCAAAGGACGACTTCTGGCGAGTCGTTGCCCAGTGCTGCAAGGGGCTGCCATACGATAAACCACGGTACTGCATGGGTGTGGGGTATCCAGAGGATATTATTGTGTGCATCGCACTCGGAGTAGACATGTTTGATTGCGTGTACGCTTGCCGTACGGCGCGTTTTGGCTCCGCGTTAACGTCCACGGGGAAGATTCAACTCACAAAGAAGGCGTTTGCGAACGACATGAGACCTCTGGATCCCGCTTGCAACTGCAGGACCTGCAATTCTTTCACCCGTGCGTACCTACACCTTATCGCAACGAAGGAATCTCTTGGTTCTACCCTTCTTTCCTACCACAATCTGGCGTATCTCATAAACCTCACCCGCAGGGCAAGAGCGGCCATCGAGGATGGAAGCTTCACGGAGTACGTTCAAAATTTCTTTGTGTCTTATTACCCCAAGCGAAACTACCCCCAGTGGGCGGTGGACGCACTGGACTCCGTGGGCATTGAGCTTTTGTAGCACGACGACATTTGTCTCGACGGGAAGTCACACGAAACAACGAAAGAAAAAAAAAAGGGTGAAAAAGACACGCCACAATGAGAGAATTTGAAAAGACACATACACACCGACACATATATGTGTTTGTTTATGAATGTGCCACCTGCTGTGTGCAGTGTGTGCATTTAAATTACTGGTGGTTTTTTACATCTAATATAACTCAATGGATGCCCGCTGTTTTTTTTTTTCTTTTTTACGCACTGGGGAGACAAAGGAAGGTGAACAAATTGCAAAGGGATATAGCAAGAGAGTGGGAGAGATGACTGAGGTTTTACAAGTTTCTTTGCAGTGTTACATGGGGCGCTTTTGCCTACCAGTAGACCCACAGCTGAGTATTCGCGAGACGTTGCGGTACTTCAGACGGAAGGTCCCGGAATTGGGTCAAGTGGATATGGACGCCTACGCGGTAAACTACAACGGGAAGTTATTGCTGGAAGAAACCATCACACTAAAGAGCGCACAGGTTGGGGAGGACGGTGTATTGATACTTGTGAAGAAGAGCGATTGCCCTGCGGCCGACACCAGAAAGGATGAGGATGACGAGTGAAAATGAAACGGGACGCATGTGAATGTAAGTGAGACTGAGAGAGAAAGAGGACGCAACGGAGCGAACACAATGAGGGTGTGGTGGCGTACATTTGGGATGTGTGGGCTTTGTTGTATGCCTCTGGTGGTAGTGTTGTTACCCTCCACGGCTAGAATGTAATCGAATTGTATGGATCCATGTATGGATGAATTAATGAACGAAACTCGGTGCCTTTTGCTTAGACGGAACAGCCGCAGCACCTCCGCATCGTTCCTTTTTTATTTTTTTGTTTTTAATGTCTTCTTTTTTCTTCTTTTTCTTCTTTTCTTTCTGTTGTTCCACTCTGTCTTCTCGCGCCGTGTTTTCATACGAAGTGCTTAGGGATTGCACACGCTCTGGTCGTCATTCCCGCTGCGTGGCACACCACGAGAAAAGGAGTAGGGGACTGGCGGGGACGAGGTCGGTCATTTGCGTCGCACACGGAACTGGAGCGTCCCGTACCGCCAGAGCGTGGGGAGAAGAGATTTATTTATTTTTTTGCATACGGACAGAGAGAGAGAGAGAGAGAGAGAGAAAAAAAAAGAAAAAGTGGGGATACTGACGGCATGTATCCCTCTCAAACTGCAGCTTCGGGCGTTGGGGGCGATGGCGACGGCTCCACCGTAATTGCGGCACACGGTCGCCTTCCAAAAATTTTGACTTTTGAGGTCAACCCGCAGGAAATATGTTTTCGTGAATTCGAGCCACACAAGACGTACGAGTCACCGCTGCATTTAAAAAATATGACGAAAGAGACGCAGTTCGTACGGGTGAGGCAACCGCAAAGTCGGGTGTTGAAGCTGAGGCCCCCGCGGCGCAATGTGACGAGTGTGAAGGTTGCGCCTGGTCTCACTGTCACGTATAAAGTGCTTTTCACACCCGAAGAGAGCCGCAACTACAGCTGCGATCTCGTTGTTACGACGGAGAGGGAGGAATTTACAGTCCCGTTGCATGCAATAGCGAGCCGTGGTCAACTGACGTTGCCGGAGTCTTTTACAGTGGCACCGTGTCCTGTAAAAAGTACTGGCACAACCAGCCTTTTTATCCGTAATACGGGAAAGCTAGAATGCCAATGGCGTGCAGAGGCGTCTTTGCCATTTACCGTAACCCCGTCCTCTGGTGTTTTGTCTCCAGGTGGAGGGGTGTTTCCCGTAAGTGTTGGATTTGCACCAACGAGGCTTCAACAGTACGAATCAACCATTTGTTTCCTTCTTGGCCCGGAGGGAGATGTGGTTCAGAAATTGCCTGTCGTTGGAAATGCGGTAGAGGTGGAGGTGGTGTTGGAGCAGAATACATTAGAGTTTCCAGTCACCTTTGTGACGCTGGAGAGCCAGGCATTGGTGCGTGTGCGGAATGACAGTGGATACACGGTTCATTTTTCATGGAAATCCGATCGCAGCTTTGCAGAAGAAAGGCGCGCTATAGAGCAGAGTCTTCTGGGGCAGACGGAGGCTGTCACGCATGCCGTCTTGACGAGCTCAAAAAATGAAGCAACTCGAAGACGTCTGAGAGAAGAGCGCCGTGAAACACTTGCGGGAGGGGGGCGTGTGTTTGATGATGATGTATTTACCCTGGAACCTGTTAGTGGTACAATCTACGCAAAGGGCAGCCAAGAGTTTATTGTCACGTTTAATCCACAACTTGCCATGGACTATGTTGCCACCGCGTATCTTGACATTGGTGGCAGGCGACAGCGACTCCCCCTTCAGGTGAAAGGAACGGGCATTGGTCCACAATGCGAACTTGAGTACACCCGTCTTGACATTGGCGAAGTCTTTGTTGGTGCGGTGCATGAGTACCAGGTGGATATTATAAACAAGGGATGTATAGAGGCACGTTATGCCGTTCTTCCACAAAATACACTTATGGGACGAAAATTTGTGTTTCAGCCTTCCGAAGGCGTATTGGCGCCCGGGACGCAAGAGACACTTTTTATTCAACTTCAGACAGATCTTGTGGGCCTTATTTCTGAGACATTTCACATTCATTTGCATGGGTCTCTGGATGAATTGACAATACGCATTCGAGGAAGTGTCACAGGACCCGCGCTTCGGTTTGAGGTGGAGGAGTTGGACTTTGGTAACGTTTCATACAATTGTCTACACTCCCGTGTAACGCAGATGGTAAACGTGGGGCAGGTGCCGATTACATTTCGACTTCGCGTCCCCGAATCCAGTTTATTACACGGGCTCATTACTGTATCTCCATCTGAGGGCATTATTTTGCCAAAGCAACAAGAAGAAATACACGTGAGTCTTGTCTCCGACATAGTAGGGAACTGCGAGACGATGTTACTGGTGGATGTGGAGGGGGTTGGCGATGGGGTGGATTCAATTCCTATCAAAGCGGCATGTCTTGTACCAACACTTTGTCTTTCCACGGAAAGGCTGCAATACGGCACATGTTTTGTTGGCCACGAGTACGTCATGAATCTGGAGGTTGTTAACAAGACCGCACTGCTTGGAAAGTACAATTTGGTTTTACTCAATGAGGAAGGTGTTCGGGCGGCAAATGCCATAGTTGTCATTGACTCACCAGAGGGGTCACAGACCCCAAAGGTGATTGAACCTCATAGCCGGTCTCAAGTGCCGGTGAAACTGACCCCATTGGCAGTTGGTGGATTACAAATGACTTTGTACGTACGCGTGCTGGGATCCAATGAGCCGCCGCTGCCTGTTTTATTGACGGCAACAGCACGTGGCCCTGTGGTGACGGCGGAACCCAAATCACTTGCATTCGGTACATTGGTGTTGCTACAGCCTTCAGAGCGAGAGTTTGTGCTGACGAATACAAGCCCCATTCCCGCCTTATTTTTTGCCAATTTTCCGGAGACGAGCAAACACAATAGCATCTCCACTGCCTTTTGCATTGAACCTTCAAAGGGGGAAATTCCTCCACACAGGAGCACAACCGTCAAGGTGACGGCACGTCTTGACGATGCGCGGCTTTTTTCAGAGCAGATTCAAATAATTGTGAGGCACGCTGAAGAAGATCCGCTGTTTGTTTCTGTTAACGCAAGCGGTAAGGGATATGCTTTGGTTCCCATTGGCCCTATTGAGAAAATTGACTTTGGTGACGTTTTTACTTCGACGATGGCGGAGAAAAACATTCTCTTACGTAATGAAGGGAGGCGGGACGTTGAGGTGTTGTGGAGTGGCGCTCGTGCAAGGGCGGGCGGTTTATCTCCTGTGTTCCGCATCTTTCCTGAGACTGTTGTGATTGGCGCCGGAAGCAGCTGCACCTTCACTGTCCAAGGCTTGGTAGATGAGGCCGGGGTTTTCACGGAAGAATTCCTTTTGAAGGATAAGAAGGAGTTCCGACTGATATTCACCACATGTGTCACTGGGAACTTTGTTTTGCCTGTCATTGCCTACAGCAAGAAACGGATTGTCTTTGATTACGTCTACGGCGCAGAGGGTGAAACGGGAAATACGGTCATAATGAAGACGTTTACCATGAAGAACACAACAACTCAATCTCTGGATGTGACACTCAAATGCGTGGAGAAATCAGGTGAGGCAGCTTCTCCATTCACGTTGGTCAGCCCAAAATCCTTCACACTTATGAGCGGAGAAACGCAAATTGTTGCCGTCAACTGTGACGCCTGCTACCGTCACGACAATGTTGCTCACACGGCGAGGGGTAGGATATTGGTTGCATTCGCCAATCATCCCTTCAGTGAGTATGTGAGCTTGTTGGCCAATATTGCATTCCCATCCATCCGCATTGAACCAGAGGACCGGCAAGTAAAATTTGGCTCTATTCTTACAAATACGGAGGGACGCTCAGAGCTTACTCTTACAAACTTGTCACCTGTTGTTCCGGCTGAATTTTGTTGGAGTATCGAGTACCGCAGCGAGGTCCCTTCGGAGCAGCCACAAAGAGATCAGAAGCGTTTTGACTTTGTTCCCTTTCGGGGGGTAATTCCTCCAGGAGGAAAACGTGTTGTTGAGGCTGTTTTTTACGGCACCCGAGGTCGACATGATGCCACAGCAACATGTACTCTAAAAGGGGGACCAAGTTACAATGTGAGTCTCATTGGTTGGAGTGATGTCACCGTACGGTTTGAATCCACAAGTCTTGATTTTGGTGTGATGCATTACTTGGAAAGGGCGAATAAGACAATCTCCATCTTCAGTCCTTCTCGCGTTGCCGTCCCATTTACTGTGAACACTATCGCACTCAAACAACCTGGATCGATAGTGGTGAAGCCCATGAAGGGTGTGGTAAGCAATAAAGTCGTTTTGACCGTCTCGTTTTGCCCGATGGTTCCGGATGAGGTTGTAGAGACATTCTTCGTGCAGGTTGGTCATCTTGACCCACAACTCATCACAGTTCGGGGGTTTGGGCAAGCACACACAATCATGTTGTCTACTTCCGACAAAAATGTGAAGCTGAACCGTATAGAAGATTCACAATACCTTCGTTGCATGGAAGAACTCAAGGACAAGGAGTGGGTGCCGTACCTTGAGAAGTCTGGCTTCCCGTGTGCAGCACCGAATGTGCTCCCTGTTGTACTGGAGGCGGAGCGGCAGGCGTACTGTCGTAATCTGCTTCTTGCAGCAAAGAACTTAACGGCGGGGGCTTCCGTGACTGAACATATTGAGGAATTTCGTGCGGATACTTCGAAAAGGGAGAGGGGTGTTCTCGCAAGGTATGTTATTGACTTTGGACACATGACGCGGTTGGATGTACGTACCATTAATGTGTCACTGGTCAATACGTCCATTTACCCCGTGGGTGTCATACTGGACAAGCAGGTGATGGAGTCAGGGCCATTGTGTGTAGAGCCGCGAAAGATACCCACAATATCTCCATTTTCAGGGACTAACATAGCACTCACTCTCTTCTTTGGCGACACTGGAAACGTTACAAATGGTGCAAATCAATTGGAGTTCTTCTTGGATATTCATAAAGGACCGCGCATTTTAGTTGAGGTGCGTTGTTTTGTTGCGACGCCAGCACTAACACCGTGTGAAACAGTGCTTGACTTTGGTGATATGCTTCTTGGACGAGTCAAGAACCTTCCACTTCACTTCTACAACAAGGAGGATATACCATGTACATGGCGAATGACATTGACTGAGCCTAAGCAGAAGCCCGGTGCAAAAAACGAGACCGACACCGCGAATCCTGTTAACCTTCCTCTTGTTGTTGCCTCCAGACGGCAGTTTAAGGTTCATAAAGAACGAGGAACGCTCCCTCCTCAGTGTGGCATGAGCATTATGGTGAGTTTCATGTCCTTTACTCTTGGGCCTGCCAAAACCAAATTACGCCTACGCTACGCCTCAAACCCGGAAGAGCAATACGTGGTATTAAAAGGCAACGTTGTGGGAGTAAATGTGGAGCTGTCTCCATCCCAACTGGTTTTTCCAACGGTGTTTCCATGCCAGACCGTGAAACACTGCTTTACCATTAAAAACAACGAGGATCGACCTGTGGAGGTGTTTAGCAAAAAATTTGATGAGAAGCATCGTGTATGTGTCGGCATTCTGCAACGTGCCCTGGCGACGCAAAAATTAAACTCCGGAGGTGAAGGCGAGATTCATCTGCCCATTCGAGAGGCCGGTGATTCTCTGCCGGAACCTTTTCTGGATTTTTTCTTTACGGAGCTTCAACGAGAGGAGCGGGCTCTTGAGTACAGGGATGAGAATGGGTTGGAAATCGATTTTCAGCGTGAATTGCGTACTGGGAGTTGCCTCTCGTCACGACGGAGACGAGCCTCGCAGGCGCGGTCGGAGCTGCAGACACCACTGGCACGCACCCCAGAGATCCCCGCAGGTGACGTGCCCCCAACCCAACCTATCTCCAAGGCCAAGCCACAAATTGTGGTCATCACAGGGCCGCCGTTTTCAGGAAAGACAACACAAATACGACGGTTAGTGGAGAAATTAAACGTGTCCCAGCTTGACCTGGATGCCATGGTACGTGCCGAAGCTGAATTTGACACGGCGGAGGGGGAACTTATTCGCACCATCCTTTCGGAGCGAGAAGAGAGTCGTACGCCCCGGGTCGTTGAGGATGTCGCTAGATCCCCATCTCCAGTGGTGGCGGTGGACAGAATTGTCAAGTCAAACGAGGTAAAAATTCTGCATGCACTTTTACTGCGTCATCTTTCTACGTTAAGTTCCGTTACGGATGTGGTGATAGATGATTTCAGGTCCATTCTTACCGAGGATCGGGAGGCGGTACTGATTGCCATTGAAAGAGCGGCTTCTGTCACGGGAAGGACACTGCAGGTCCTTTCTCTTGGTGTAAGTGAGGCAACAACCGGGCTTCGGCGTAGCCTTGACGTACAGAAGAAATGTCGTGAAATTGCGGAGGCGGCCATAACGTTGCCCCTTACAGAAGAGGAATATGAGACTCTTGACGAGGAAGGACGTGATGCGTACAACCGTCGTCTGTTGCACTATAACGCATGTAAGCGGGCCCTTACTGAGGCCTCCAACGAGGTGTCACGCTATGAGGCGGAGCTGGAAAACAACCCACAGTTAACGGTCCAAGAGCATGCGGAGCAAAATATCATTGCATTGGAAGAACAGGAGGCACTTATCCGGTCAGCCTCGAGAAGTAAAAAAAATGTGTCGGAACCGCGTCGTAGGCCGCAATGGGAAGAAATTTCTGAACTCGAACAATACAAGGAGCTCTACACACAACTGCGGCGCATCGGGGGTGTGACGCATATTGTGGTGAGCGGAGAAGCGGAGGAAAAGGATGTCAATAAGGCCATCGTGGAACAATTCTTCTCAGGGGATAATGTCATGCATTCAAGTCCCCCTAGCCCAATTCCATTCTCCTTGATGGAAGATAAAAATGAGAGTCTGAGTTTTTTGCCCAATGTTAGACGCAGTGGAATGTGGGAGCTGATTACAGAAGAAACAATGGGACGCACAAACACGCGAGTTGAGCAATTTTGTTTTTTTACTGTCACACGGCGAGAAGCTTTGGTAAAAAAGACAGCGAAGGGAAGTCCCGCGCAGACGACGTTGGCAATGGAGGAAACCGCACGATGGATAGTACCGCCCAAGTCATCGGTAGAAGTCACTGTTGTTTTTTGTAGCGATGGATTGGGACAAATTAACATTCCCTTCTCGTTTGGAATTACAGGTACAACTCAAGAAATCACATTGCCTGTTTTTGCGTGCACTGCATATCCGGAGATTTGCCGAGATTATAAAAAAATATTTCCCTTCACGAAGCCACGTGCCATTGCTGGAAAACGGCCAATTCGTGTTTTTGTGATGTCAAGGAAAACATATGAATTTGGTCCGCTTATTGTCCCTGGGGGGGTCGTCAGTGCGCAATCGTCATCTTTCAAGAAAAACAGGCAGCTGAATGAGTCATTAAGCACATTCACTAGATCGACAGTCCCTAGTAATAAGGAGTCTGGAGCACAGGTTACAATGACCTTCACGAACACCGGGATTTTCCCTGCAGAAGTTTCATTATCATTTGGAAAAGAAAAGGAACCAAACTTTTCTGTTACCCCAAACAAATTTACTTTAAGTGTGGGAGAAACGGCAAATGTTGTGCTTCGTGCCGCCCCTGAAACTATTGGAGAAGTTTTCTCGACTCTTGTTGTGACGGTGCGAGACAACCCCACACCCTTGTTTGTGAATGTCTCCTGCGTGGGTACACGTCCGGCGGTTACACTGAATGGAAAGAAGGAGTTGCTGGTACAATACGGACGCTGTCTAATTAAACGTGAGGTGGGAAAAGTGATTAACATCGCCAATGACAGTTTGATGCCTGTTTGCTGGCGCATTGCGGGGGTTGAGAAGGTTCCAATGGAGTTTAAGTTAAGTTCTACCGGTGGTGTTCTTGATGTGAATGGCATGTATCCGTTGGAGATTGTTTTCAAACCCACGCGTCCTGGTGTTCACAATATATCACTGAGGGTGGAAGTGACAGATGCGGAAGAGACGTTGTTTGAGTCCATTCCTTTAACTGTTAAGGCTGAGGCTCATGATGTGGTGATTGAGTGGTCAAATCATGTGGATTTTAAACTTATGCATGTGGGTGAAACAAAGAAAGAGAATGTACTCATCCTCAACAAAAGCCCATATGATGTGGGTTACCTGCTACGATTGCCCAAATGCCTTCAAAACCTCATCTCACTTAATCCGAGTGAGGGGGTAATGCGTGGGTTGGTGGGTTTTAAGGACGCCTTTTTGTTGAATGTGGAGGTGACGATTCGCTTCGACAAGGAAGGGGAAATCCCGGCATCACTCGGTGTGATTGAAGCCTCCTTCTTTGACCCCGTCAAAAATGAACTACTCTTCCCTGTGCAAAGTATCCCCGTGAGTGGGGAGGCATGGTACAATCGATTTACCATTAAACCAGCTTGCATTGACTTTGGGTTTTGTGTTGTCAATCAGAGTAAAAAATGCTCCTTTGAGCTGCAAAACACCGGCCACTTTCCAATTAACTTTAGACTGTTCAACTACAAAAATGGGCCAGCGTTACTGCAGCAGGAGGATGAGGAAGGCGTCGGCAAAAAGCAACGCAAGTCTGCGAAGCCAGACACAGGATTTCAGTTGGGTGTCTTTACGGTGTCGCCAAGCAGTGGCACTGTTGCTGTAGGGGAAACTTTTTCATTTCAGGTGCTTACTGTACAGAAGACACGATCAAATAATAGGGAGACACTTGGTATATATGTGGATCACTGTGACCCGGAGACGGAGGCAAAAGGGATTCCTTTTGAGCTTGTCGCCTCCACAACAACCCCTGGCATTGTGTCCGACCTCACATCCCTTGTGGACGTGGAGACCATATTTGAGGAACAACAAGTGGTGTCAAGCTATTCTCAACGTAACAAGACGTTGCGTGCCTACGCAAGGGATACTCGTACCTTTTACTTTGGCACTACCCTTGTTGGCAGTCGGGTGGAGGAGCGATTCCGAATTGCCAATTCCAGTCCGCTCATGTGCACTGTAAAGCTGCAGCTTTTGCCGCAATACCCACGGGAGGGGAAAGAGAAAGAGCGGGACAAGAAGGAACGGGAACCTCTCCTAGAAGTAGATGGATTTCAATTGTCAATTGATGGGGAGCCAGAGAAGATCAATACGCTTCAATTGCCGTCCTTTGAGAGTCGCTTTGTCACGGTTAGCTTTGCTCCTTCCACACTACAATCTTCTCGTGCACGGTTTGAGGCGGTTGTGGTTGGTATACCGGATCCAAAGGCAAGTGCTTTGGAATTTGAACTTGCTGGCGAGGGAGTTTTGCCGTCGGTGGAGTACATCCTTCCGCCGCGGCTCCAGACACCGTTTGCCGTTAGTTTGACAACAACAATGAAAAAAGGATCCAGAGTGAGAGGAAAGGAGCCCAGGAAAATTGCGGCGCACCAAATGGCGGAATTTGCAACCGAGAATATTGTTTCCGACACGATTCAGTTACCCGTGACACTGGTTGGAAACGCGTCGTCGAGAACGTTTACTGTGCGTAATACAGGCGAATTGGATGCTCATATTCGTGTTTCGGCTCCCGATGAGTTTACGAGTGACATTAGTGTCTCGAAGCTGAGAGAAGTGTTATCTCTTCCTCCGGGTTGTGCCGAATCCTTTACAGTGAACTTTGCACCCACTTCAATCGAAAAGCATCGGGTGCGGTTGCGTGTTGCTGTGACGGAGAACCCATATGAGGACCGTGAATTATGGATCTTGGCTGAAAGTTACTTCAATGCCATCAGCTTTGAAAATATTGACCCTGGAAGCGAGGACCAACTAACGTTGGGCCAGTGTTATGTCTCACAGCCTGTGGAGCATGTGATGTTGCTGCGTAATAACAGTCCCCATGCGATCCGTTTTGAGTGGAGTTGTTCCTCTTCCATCCTTCAATGCACCCCACAACTGGGTCACATGTCGCCAGGTTCAACAAAGCAATTAACGTTGCGGCTTTACACGGATACCGTATCGGGGGAGACCATTTCCTCTGTATTCCGAGTGAAGTCTATTACAACGATGGAAGGGGATGATTGGGACAATACGCAGACAAAATCGAGGTGGGCCGTATTATCCCCAGCGGAGGATTCAGATGCCGTGGAAAACTCCACCTCTTCAGAAAGCAATACTCGCAAAAATCTTCGTAAAGTTCTTGAAGCTGTTCCAGAGCCTTCGTACGAAGTCACTGGTGATATTTCGCTGCAAAAGACGCTTTACGTGAGCTATGCCACTGAATTTGCCTCATACAAAATAACGCTACCGATGAGTGGGGATATGGAGATTTCCGACAATCTCACGTTCCCCTTGACGAAGATATTTCAGAGGCGAATTGCCACACTTCGGGTAAAGAACACGGGTTTGAATGTGTTGCCCTTTTCGTTTGAAATACATGACCCGCAGCGACAATCGGGTAGAGAAGGAGGGATGCCCGGTGTATTCACGGTGGAGCCCGCCTCCGGTAAGATCGATCCTCGAGCTTATCAGGATGTGAGTGTGATTTTTGCACCGAAGTCCATTGAAAGTACTTCTCAGGTGCTTGTGGGCTCTTTTCCCCACAGTCTCGAGCCCAAACTTTACATCTCGCTCCAAGGAACGGCGGAGTGTCCTTTGGTTCACTTCAATGTGCCCGCATCCGATTATTTGGTTTCCCGTGTTGATGGTGAGGCAGGAACAAACTTGGATCCCAACACGATTCCACTCATGTTCTATTCATGCGGTCTGAACAGTAAGTGCAGTGTCCGATTTAAAGTCATTAATCCCAGCACAAATACTTATCGCTTTGAATGGATAAGCGATCCCTTGTCGCGGCGAATCTCGCCATTTCGGTGTTTGACGCCTTCTGGTTCTATTGCGGCTGGGAAACAGTATGAAATGGCGTTTGATTACTTATCCAACTCCATCGGTATTCGTGAGGCAAAATGGTCGTTTTTCATTTCGGGACATATGTCTGTCTCCTTTCTACTGGTAGGCAAAACCGATGAACCCAACGTATTTCTGCATGTGAGTCGGGTACACTTTGGGGGCGTGACGGTGGGTAACAAGGATGAACGTATTATTGAGCTGGAGAACCGCGAGAATACATCTTTCCCCTTTGAATTTGACCGGACGATGCTCAACAGCGAGGACTGCTGTGTGTGGGTGAAACCGTTGAGTGGGACCATCCCGCCGAAGTCAATCATGCCTCTCACGGTGTCGTTTGCTCCAAAGGATGAGGTTTCGGTGAACGTTCGGTTGCTTTGCCGAGTAAAGCGTATGAGCGATCCCTTGACGATAAATGTGAAGGGCGAGGGTCTTCGTATTCATCCCTCACTAACGATCGAGGACGACGATGTCGATGATCTCGCGGAGCCTGTCTTCGTGCCACAATTACAGATGTTTCATTGTTTTTTGGGTCGTGTGCAACCCAACACGGTGGTTAAAAAGCGGTTTGTCCTTACGAACGACGGTCAGTGTTCCATGGATTACGTCATGTTGGTACCGGAGCACCGATTCCTGAAGTTAAGTCCTCTCTCTGGCACGGTGGGGCCAAAGCAGCGTGCGGTTATGTCACTGGTGTACTTCCCCACAGAGGAGGAGATATTGCGCAACTTTAAAATTCAATGCCGGATTGATAAAGTGCCTGTGTACAACATTCGTTTGGGAGCCGTCGCTTATGTGCCAAAGGTGCAGCTCAGCTTTATGAACCATGATTTTGGACCATGCTTCATCACGGAGTTCTCCTCGGATTCTGTTGTAACTAAGACATTGTCGATGATGAATACGGAGGCGAAGGAGAGTGTGGCATTGGATTGTATTCTTTCTAAGAATGGCATATTTGAATTGGATGGCACCTCTTTTGTTCTTTCTCCTGGTGAGATGCGGAATCTTGTGATTAGTTTTGCCCCACCCGAGGTTGGAGATTTCACGAGTGAACTTCAAATTACTTTCAACGGCAGTTACTCCATCTACATCCCACTTAAGGGGGAGGGGATTATTCCGCGCATTGAGGTGCCTATTCGTTTCATAAAGTTGGGCGGTGCCCGTATTGGCGAACGACGCGTGGCCGATTTGCGATTGGATTGTCGAAGTCGTGCCGTTACACCAATCTCCTTTGTTAACTGCGTGGATGAGGCTCTGCGGGAGAAGGGCATTTCGATCTTTCCAAATGAACCTTTTCTCATGCGACCCCGTGAAGTTCGAACGGTTACGGTTTCATTTAAGCCCACTGCCCGTATGCCAGAGTTCCAGCGGGAGCTGCGAATGCTTGTCTGTGGGCGGGAGATGCCGCTTGTTGTTGTCTCGGCCTTCTGCGAGGACGCGGAGGTTCATTTGGATGTTCAAAATATTCTTTTTAATGATGTTGTTGTGGGCACCACGGCTTTTCGGCGCATTGTTATCATGAACAGCGGTGATATCTCGCAGCGCTTCAGGTGGGATCCGACACTTTCGACAGAGAGCGAAATGAGGGTTGTCCCACCCACAGGTTTGGTTCGTGCCCACTCGGAACAGGTGTGCGAGTTTGTGTATACCCCAAAAGATGCAGGGAACGTCTTTAGACGCAATGTTCGTGTGGAATTTGATGACGCCCCAGCCGCAACTGTCAATGTGGAGGCACATGCTACTGAGCGGCCCAAGGCGGAGGCAGTTTTGACATTTTCGTGTTGTGCAAAGGCCACCACTACAAAGACGGTGCCTGTGGATAATCCTACGGATGGGACATGGACAATAAAACCTGTCATTGACAGCCGGCTGTGGACAGCACCCAAATCATTTCAAATAAACCCGAGGAGCACCGCGTTGTTGCCTGTGACGTATGCGCCAATGTTTGTCTCCGGAGAGAAAGACACTGCCACCCTCTTTATCCCGTTCCACAATGGAGCCGCTCGCGTCATTGAATTGGAGGGGGTCGCCTCCCATCCTATGGAAGAGGGGAAGGTTGCAGTGAAAACAATAGAAGCGGGGACCCCACATCTTGAGAATTTTGAGGTCTACAACAGTACGACGCAGCCCTTACGTTTTCAAGTTAATGCTCAGTGGACCCCAGAGCTGGAGAAGGGCATGGTAACTGTAAAGGCACCTGCGAGTATTGATGTTCCCGCCAAACAGATGAAGATCTGTGCCATCACGTTTGTCATACTAAAGGAGGGTGATCTTCGTGGGACTGTGCAATTCCGCTGTCCTGAACGTGAGGATCATACACAAGTGTTTGATTTGGCGCTGCGTGTTGTGCCAAAGAAGGTATCTTCAAGAACAGAACTTGTGGCAAAAGTACGTAATGCCGCGATTCATCTTATGCCCGTTAAAAATCCATTGGGAAAGAACGCTCATGCCAACATACGGGTGGAGAATGGTAGCGATGTCATCTTTGTTGATTCTTCCATTAACATTCCGCCAAAGGGTACCGTGGATGTTCCCATTCGCTTCTTCCCTTTGGTGCATAAGGAGTATCCAGTGGCGACCGTTACCGCAACGAGCGTGGAGATTGGCACTGTGTCCTGTCAACTTCTTCTTCGTTCGAAGCCGCCGGAGCCAGAGAAGGTGACGCGGGTTTCATGCCCTCTTGGACAGACGACTGTTTTTCCACTTCGATTCACCCACTACTGCAAGTCAAACTGCGAGTTCACCGTCCGCTTCGGCTCCAAGGTGACCCCATTCTCAAAGGTTGGGAGCTCCAGCAGCGTGAAAATGCCTGGAACGACGCGTCCGGAGGGACAAGAGGTGTCAATGGAAATTCAGTATGAGCCCACAGTTGTTGGTGAGATAAAGGAATCCATTGAGGTTTTCTCACCTCAAGCAGGTCTTTACATATTCCCTGTTTTGGCATCGTGCCTACCGCCGCAGCGCCAGGGGCCATTCCTGCTTCGTCTGGGGCAGGTGACCTCCATTCCTTTTCGAAACGTTTTTCTGGAACCCCTCACACTCACGTTGTCGACGGATTCGCCCAGTTTTTTGGTGCTCAAAACGACAGAGACCGTGGCAGCAAAGAAAACAATTAACATTCAGGTGACGTACAAGCCGGAAGAGGGCGGTAGTGTCTCGCAGACGGGTAAACTCACCGTCTCTGGTGTGAACAATGGAGAGACGCTGCAGTGGGTGTACTACTTGAAGTGTGGCGTCGTGGATGCGGGGCCCTCCGTGGCCAAAGCCTCTTTTAGAGGGAGGGAGTAGCGCCTTTATTTCGCTCTTGTCAATTTACAGCTGGTTCTTGAGACAGGGGAGCCAAAGGGGTGACCTGGAAGGGATGAGAGAAGTGGGCCGATGTATATGAGATGAACCACGTAACACACATGCAAAAATAGTAATAGGGAGAAGAGGCAAAAAAGAAAGAAAAAAGGATATTGAATCACGTATGTAAATAAGAAATGTTTAATACCTTGTTGTTTCCACCAATTTGCATCCACACGCACATGCAACTATACATAGATGCATAGAAAGGGAGAAGGGGGAGAATGTGAAACGAAAACGACGGATGGAAAAGTATGAGTGGAAGATGAAAAGAAAACGAGGGCCACGTTTTTTTTTTTTTTTTTGCTCTTATTTATTTCCATGTTTTTTTGTGTGTTTGTTCTTCTTTTTATGTGAGTCTCCCTGCATTTTTCTGTGTGTGTGTGTGTGATGCGGGTGCAGGTGCGTGTTGGTTATGCAAATGTTTCTCTATTATTATTATTATTATTATTTTGCGGTCATGGCGGCATGTTTTTTGCGGCGAGTATTTGGATTGCCTCCTGTGTTGACGTTGACTGCTTTTTCACTTCTTTTTTTTAATTACCTTTTTTTTTTTTTTTTTAGCGTACGCGTATAGAGAGGAAGGGGCGGAAGGGCCGCACCGACAGCCTGATTGCACGCCGAGGGGATTCGGTGAGGACCGTAAAAGGAGGACCACCGAAGGGTAGAGGAGGTGAAGGGAAACGGAAGCATAAGAAAAATACGATTAAAAAAATATATATCTCTCTATTTATATAAAAGAGGGGAGGAGGAGGAGGGGGAGGGAAAATTATGTTCGGTGGAGTGTTGGAGAAAATTAGACTGTTCGAGGCCGACATTGAGCACCACATTGACAACATTGTGCAGCAGAAACTCCTTGCGGATGTCAGCAACAGACGTCACCAAATTCTTCGCGATCACTTTATTTTGCAGGAGGCGGAGGCGATTGCCCCTATTGCCGACAAGCTGCTGGACTTGTACCTCGACCAGGACGACATCGTCGCCGTGCAGGAGGCCCCGTCTGAGGGCGAAGATGTGTTGAGTGCTGCTCTAAAGGAATTTGAGGCGCAGATTGCTGATATTCGTGAGTACCACCGTACGTTTCGTGATCTGCCTCCCGTGAAGACGGACTTAGACCATCCTGATGCTGCGGCAATGGAACAACTCTTCTCCGTGGGAGAGCGTTACGGCAGTTGTCTTGACTTGGAGCCCCACTACCACCGCTACAGCAACTTCATGTTGACAACGAGCAAAAGGGCTCAGGAGGAGGGGGACGCCGTTGGAAGCGCGTGGGAAGGACGCGTGGGTTATTTTGCTTTTGTTCCTGCAATATCGAGCATCATTCTCCATGACATTGATGCCCACCGGAAATTGTATGGATTTTTACAGTACAAGGAGTTTGTTGATGAGCTGCTAGCATACCTGATTGGCTTTCATGATCGTGCGAAGGTGATGGAAAAGGATGTTTTGCTCTCCTCTCTTGCCAGGTGTGACACAGATGCGGAGGAATATTGGTCAAAGCTCATGGAACATAAGAAGGCCGTGGTGAAGAGCGGTAGCGGGAACAGTGATGTGAGTTCCGCTGATAAGACTGCTTCTTCGTTAATTGTACCACCACCGCTACGCAAATACACGAAGGCGTTCGCACTCTGGCCCATTACACATCTGGAGTCTATGATAGTGGAGGGGATGAAGGCGGTATCTCCCTCTTTGGCTGAAGTCAAGACTGTGATTCACGCGGAAGGAAAAATTGTCATGTTACTGCAGACACTGCTCTTTGATACACTGAAGGAGACAGAAAAGGTGCTTCTACGGGACTACAGCAAGACGGCGGAGGAGCTGGAGTGGGAACGAAAGCATTTGCAGGAGGAGTTTTTACAATCTGTGGAGGAAGCAAGAAAGAAGAGTGCCACAACAGTGGAGGGTAGCGTTGCGCAGGCCGCACAGTACGACGTCATGGCGACTTTAAATTCAAAAGATGTAGAGAATGACCCGAAAGAAAATACTGCTGTTGCGGATGACACCAGCGGACAGTTACTGGACCGGGATGGGAAACCTGTTGCCCGCTGGCTTATACACCTGCAGCAGCTGCACAAAAAATTTTACTGCGAGGTGTGCGGTGGGACGGTGTACGTTGGTCCGAAGGCCTTTAAGGATCATTTTGGGGCAGAACGACATGCTGAAGGACTTCGCCGGCTGGGGGTGACGGTTCATTTGAGGGAGTACGCGGGAATTTCATCCATCCGGAAGGTTATTGAGATGCGGGAAAAGGTGATAAGCAACACCGCAAGCATTCGCAAACGTCTCCACGAGGACCAGGAGGGAGAGGAGATGCAGGATGCGCAGGGAAATGTCATAACGGCAGGGGCGTATAAGCGGTTCCAGATATCTCGGAAAGGCATCTAATTTGTGAACGAGAGGGACATTTGTTTGTGCCGGTGAGAAGGTTTTTTTTTTTTTTTTGGAGCGGACACTTAAAGCCGAATGGGGAGGAGACACGCAGAACACACATGGAGACTTTTTTTTTTTTTTTTCAAGGACGACTCTTGTCTGGTTGTGTTGTTGTTGTTTTTTGTTGATTTTGCGCCTTTTTAAAAGAAAAATTTTCTGTTGTTTCTTTCGGTGTTCCCCGTCCAATGGTTGTGCACATGTGATGAAGGGGGGGGGGGGACTCTCTCCATTTTCTATTTATTTTTTTCTTCTTGGCACTGAGCCATCCTCAGTGAGTAAACGGTTTAGTTTTTTTTTTCTACCATCTTTTCTCCGACTGCGAAATTTGTCCACAAACAACTGTAATGCGGTAATTTCTTTGGTGCCACAAGTGAGCAAGGAATATGGGGTCCAGGCGCCGAGCAAAGCGTCCGAGTTCTGCGGCGACCGAGGTTGCAGAGAAAAAGGTCGATGAGGAGGCGAATACAAAAGAAGCCGAAACGACGACTTTGTCACCCAAAGTCAGCGAACATCCAGCAAGCGAGTCGAATGTAGAACAGCCGCCCGCATTGCCCCTGCCAGCAGCTGAAGAGCCAGAGGCACCCGCACCGAAACCGTCCAGACGGGCGCTCCAACGGTTGCGTGGATGGGAGCCTGTGATAAAACCACCTGAAGGGATGGCCGCCTTGCCGGCATCACCGGTCGTGCCGACAGCCGATGTCGTCTGGCTAGACAACAGCAGAAGAGTGACGCTGATTCCAAACAGCGGCGGCGGAGTTCATACCCGTCGGGGCGCTGCAAACCTTGCCGCCGTCTCGCCGCCTACCAGCTACTTTGTTTGCACAAGGGATCCATTGATAAAACTGGTTCGAGCGGGAACTCAGAGTGTGCATGTCATCACCAGTCTTCCACCTGGTGGAGACCCATGTAGCATTTTGGATAATGTGCCTTCAGTGGGCTCCTTTACGCAGCGGAGCGGTGAGGCGGTGACAAGGAGGTCAAATGTCACCTCATCCTTTTCTTCTTCCTCCTGCTTCTCGAGGCCACGGGAGGGATTGAATGGTGACAGCGAAGGCGAGGGTGGGGAAGAAACGGGGATGGGTGGTGAAGAAGAGCTGGAGGAAGCAAATGGCACTAATGCCGACGCTCATGCCGCCTCCTGCAGGAAACAACCCCCAAATAAGGTGGACACGTCGACGAATTCGGTGGAATATGGAGGCACAGAGGCAGACGTCGGCAAGGGAAAAAAGAATGCAACATTGAAAAAGTCAGGTAACGCCACACCGGCAGCAACAACAGCAGCAACAGCGCCACCCACACGAATAGGTGTTCTTTCTCCAGCACAGGCGATGCTACCACCGCCCTATCGACGGATGCGTCGGCTGAAGCGGAAGTTGCACATCACCGAAGAAACGCCTGCGTTTGCCATTCACAGTGAACTACGCGACAAGATGCCACAACTTTTTCCAAAAGCCCCCTTTTCCACAGAGGAAGACGTATTGCGCTCGACAATTGATTGGTGTGACGACATGACGTTGATGTACACCCGTCTTCTGTGGGAGTTTGCACCTGACGAGTTTCTCAAGAGAGCTTTACAAAACCAGCAACAACATGATAATGAGGATACCAAAAAGCCGAAATTAACTGAGAATTTATTACCATTGCACTCTCTGGAGGAGGAAGAGGCGTAGAGGCATTATTATTATTATTAATGTTGTCTGTGATTGTGTGCGTGATGAGTGGGATTCCAGGTAGTTTACTTTCCATAAGGATTCTGAACATGCTTACAGAAGCACTTTTTTGTAGATGTATCAGGAGGGAAACCAGTGGCGGACAGATCTTTTTTTTTTTAGCAGCTGATGCTTATTTATTCAATTATATTTTTGTCCCTCTCTTCTTCTCCCCGTTGCTCTTTTCTGTTGCCTAACTCATATCAGGGGAGAATACGCGCAGACAGACATATAAGGGTTGTTTTCTGGATCAACGCTCAAGAGGGCACTTAGGTCACGTGCCCTTCCTTTAATAAATCGCACTTTTATACCGAGAAGGAAAACATTTTTGACTGACACCCTTAAAAGGTGTTGAACTCCCCCTTCTTTTCATGCCTTTAGGCGAACCCCAGTTTGCTACGGTCTCGCTCCTTCTTGGGGACGCGGTAGAGGGGACATTTCGCGTACCGATTACCGATGAAACCACTGTGCGTCGCCTGGCAAAGGACGCAATGCATCGACTCATTGCCCGTTCCAACACCGGAAGGCATGTTATTCCGCGGGATAAAATATCGGTGTCAGAGGTTTTTGTGAAGAGCGGCACAGATAAGGCGGAGATATTCGCACAAGACCTTGTCAACCAAGTCGTGCTTGTCAAGGAGGAAGTACTTTACATGCGACTGCGCATAAGGGAGACGGTAACGGCAGGGATGAGGGAAGAATTCCTCACGGCGACAACCAGCACTGTGGGTGCCACCACCAGCAACATTGACAAAAATGGACGCATGAATTCCACCACCGTTCAGACTGTTGACGTGCACTCGTCGACAGGAGAACCGCCGCAAGAGAAGGCGTCGAAAGGAAAGAAGAATTCTGTTGCTACGGAGAAGCCGGTCGAACACACATCCTCCTCTTTCTTATCCTCTGGTGCTGCGGCCGGGGAGAAGTGTGAAGCGCAAAATGGAAAAAGAGCCAAGCAGGAGGGAGGAGAAGAGACGGAAGTCAAGAAGGAGGATGCTAGGACCGTGGCGGGTGGTGGAAAGGGAAAAGGCACGGGGCGTGGACTTGGCTGGGGTCCAGAGGCGCACAAGTGCTTTGCCGATAACTACATTACCAGTCCCAACAGACTTATGCAGAAGTCTCGGGCGAAGCGAAAGGCCACTGCAAAGAAAGCGACAACGCCCGTGACAAAACTGAAAGGGAAAAGAGAATTGCCGGAAAAGGAGCCATCACCGGAGGTTGATGCTGTCACGCAGCCGAAGCGACGACTGGGGTGGGGTCCTGAGGCCGAGAAATATTTTCCTGACAATTATGTCGCCTCCCCCGATAGGATTGCACGGCTCAAGCGTCAAGGAAAACGCATGCAAGAGAAAAAGAAAAAGGAAGAGGAAGAAGCGGCAAGACAAGAACGAGAGAAGAAGGAAAAGGAGGAGGAGGAGGAGGAGGCGAAAATGAGGAAAAAGAATGCGGCGTCTTCTGCCCCAACCTTTTCAAGCATTGTGCAATCGTTGGAAAAACGCCTGAATGAGAATCAGCACCGTGATACTTCTCCAGACTGCACCTCTACAGTTACGACGCGCAACATCAAGGGAGGAACAAGTGAGGGGGGTCGAGAGCCTCGAACGGCACCCACCGCGCTTGCAGTGGCTTCCACACCGCATCCAAACCACGGGAATGCATGCCGTCGCAGTACCGGCTCCAACTTAAGCCGGAAAAGACGATTAGGTGAAATTGGGGAGGATGGGAGCGCTTTATTTCCCATTGTTGTGGAGCGACAGCTTAGTTTTGAGGCCGCAGAGGAGACGTCCACCACCCACACTCCCAAGGAGCAGACGACGCGGCAACTGCTTGAAGGTGGAACCGCGGCAGGTGAGCCTCAACAGAAGGCTCCTCCAGAGGGGTGGGGAAAGGAAGCCACACGTTACTTTGACGTGGAGACGTACTTTGATGATCCTAGCAAGGCGAGGCTGAGCGCGGAGATTTTGGCACGCCCTATTCGAGCTAGGAGAGACGTTGTGCTGCCGTACTACTTTTCCGCCATAGCCAAGTAAAATTGGGCCAGAAAGGTCCGGTTTCTCACTGGAGAGGGAAAAGAAAGATGTACTTGAACACTTTATATATATATTCCCGCTTACAGCTTCACTTAGATGCAACACGATCCATCCAACTACTCTTCTCCCCGCCTCATCACTCCTCCACAATTCCACGCACGTTCAAACAAAAAGAAAAGGAAAAAAAAAATGGATGTGTGTACCTGAATTTTTTGGAGTGAGAAAAAAGGGGAGAAGGAGGAAGAAGGGGAGGAGGAAATTAATCTCCACGCAGCTGTGGGGTTCAACGTATAGATTGTGATTATTTCACACCCACTTTTATTTTTTCATACAAAAATGCGAATCAAGCGGGGGAAAAAACAACAACAAAGGAGGGAGAAAAGGGAGAGAGAACACACACACACAAAAAAAAAGAACAACAACAAAACAAACAAACAACGCGCCGATTGATGTACATTGGACCTTTTGCTGTGTAGATGTGTGTGTCTGGGTGACTCTGTTGGTTAGACCGTTGTAGAGGCTAGAATAGGTGCCAGAGGGAGGAGGGTGTAGATCCAAAAGGGAGAGGGGGAGGGGCAATCTCTTTTTTTTGTTTTCGTTTGCATACATGTATATGTACGTACAAAACTAGAACTGCGTATATATTTCATGATTTTCTTTTCCTTACTAGATGAAACTCAATAACGCTACAAGAACCTCCTCAAAGGTGATTTTTTTTTTTTTTTTTTGTCATCTGTCAAGCGGTATTTTGTGTGGCGCGCCAATATAAAGTTTTCTGCACATTTGTTACTAACGCTGTTTGCTCTCCTTTACGCGTTGATTTTTATTTCATTGTTTTTTCTCCGTCTTTGTTTGTGTGTGTGTGTGTGTGTGTCCGACAAAACTCGTTGTGCCTTTCTCCATTTCGATGTGGAGACCCTTTCCGGCAATTAACTTGAAGAAAAGAAGACTTGATTAGCGGGAGTAAGGCGGCCTTTTTTTTTGTTTTTGTTTTTGCACCGTTGCTTAATGCCGTGTTTTTTTCTGCATTTTTGATTTGCATTTTGTTTTCTGTGTGTTTGTGTGTATGTGCTCACTTTTTTTTTTTCTCCTTTTTTTGGTTTCTTTTTGCATCTTTGTTGACGCTTTGGAGAGGACTGTGGCGGTGAGTGAGGCAGAGGGACGGGTAGGGAGGTGGGTGGTTGGGCGCAGTACGCATGCATGCGTGAGGAAAAGGCTGTTGCTTCCCTTGGCGCGGTGTGCATCAGTCTCTACCAGTGCCAGCCGCTTGCCTCTTTAAGGAGTCCATGCTTCTGTGATACCGCGAGTGCTTACAGGGGCGATGTCCTGGTGCCTTTTTACAGGGGCAGCACGACGTACAGAGAACTTGCAGAGGGTATGGAATACCGACTCAATCAGTACTTCGTCGTGCACCCCGCAGCTGCACTTAAGCCGAGAGCCGCGGAATTTTCAACACAAAATAACTTAGTGCACGCAGTAAACAATGGCAGTGGTTTCAATGGATCCTATGTATGCTCTCGCTGCACCGGATGTGGCGATGCCGGCAGGGTGGCACACACCCAAACCGGACAAGGCATATTTGAAGAGTATCCCAGGATTGTTGTACGCAACTTTACGAGAGCGCGAAACCCCGAGCTTGGAGGGGGCGATGTGACTTACGAAGACATTGATGACAAATTGGAGGTAACAGAGGGTAACCTTCGCTGTTTTTTTTACTACGTTAAAGAGAAATGCAGCAAAACTACCTCACCCATACTTTTAAAGGATGGCAGTATCAAGCGTCCACACATTGGTCTAGATCATGTACACTCATACGCTTCTGGTAGTGCCTATGCTGACCGTGGGAAGGTGCAGCAACACATTGAGTTGAAGGTGGGAGGGCGTCTGCTTCGCATTGGCACTTCCACTGAACAAAGATTTGAAGACGTCTTTCAGCGCCTTAAGAGCCGAAATCTTCGAGTACACCGCATCTTTGACGGTGTTACTGGCGCCAGTATCTTGCCCTGCGAACTCGTGCGCCATCTTAGTTGGAGGGTTTCGTCGTTTTGTGCGGAAGTTGCTGTTCCAATTTCAAGTGATGTTGGCATGAAGCGGCAACGCATCGATGAAGAACGTGAAGGAAATACGGAGGATGAGGGACTGTGGATGAGAGAGAGGAAAGAAGATCACGACGAGGCGAGGACGCTGATAAGCCTCTCGGAGGTTTCAACAGGGGCTTATGGTGGCACTACCTTATGCTTAACGTCAGGGTCGCCTAGGAGCAATAGTAATACGCACGTCAACGTGGATGAAGAACGACGCTCCTGGAACCATGAAAAATTGCTGCACAAAACCACCTTTGGCTTTGATGAAGATGATGATACGGTGCCTCTTCTGGACGTCCACCCACAGGTTCCTCACGACTCTCTTGCCTGCTCAGCCGAGGCGGTGGAAAGCAGCACTCCATTGCGCTCATTCTATTTGGACGATGATTCATACATGTCATCTGCGTTTACTGGCGTTGTTAACGATACAGGTGGTAGCAGTGTTGCTTTTGCCACACCAATGCATGCCGAAAACGACATTTTGATAAACGACAGTGGTTTACGTCGGCGCAGAGTAGGATCTGTTCATGGGGAATATTCCCCCATTATGGTTACGCAGCAATCTCTGCCTGATTTCTTTCTTGACAATTCCGATGATAACGACGAGGAAGAGGAATACGATAACTAAGGCTGTGGGAAAAATGACCATTGCTGTTGATAATGATGTGCGTCGAGTTCTTTTTGCCCGACTGGATACGGTGTTGCTGTGTGTGTGTGTGTGTGTGCTGCCGTTAAATGCAAAAGAACGACTCTGCTGGATCCAAAAAGTCAAAGTGCTTCTCAGACTAAAGCGAGGGGGAGAAGGATGACTGTGTTGCTGGTGGAAGAGGAGAGGAAGCGACATACTTGCTTCCTTTCTACGATAAGTTTTTTTCTTTTGCTTTCTTTTCCTTCATTAATAGCGTCATTATGAGAAGTATTCACACGAATTCTTTCTTTTTTTTTTTCTCTTTTGTTTTAACTCCACGGTGAGAGGGGCATAGATGCGATGCTCAGTAGGAAAGGCTACATTGGACGCCAGCTAAGACCGTCGCAGCTGGCAAGTGAGCTTTTGCCGGCGGACCAGACATGGTGTGCCACATGCCATCTGGCTGTCTTGAAGAAGAACTGGCCGGATCACCGGGTGTCGCGTAGTCACCGCCTTGCCTCAGCGAAGATGCAAAAGATGAAGCGGCTCTCGCTTGACATGTGGGCACGGCACCGCGCCGCACCGTTGGAGGAGGAAAGTGCCCATGAGGAAAGTATTGAGGCAGAGTTTGAACGATTCCGAACTGAGCAGCGGAGGCGTGAACGAATGGTGCAATTATCTTCTTGGAAGAGGTGAGATTTCACAGACCCAGTCGCAGGTATGGTTGGATAAGAGAGGGAACAAACAAACAAACAATATTTGTATTCTTTAGTTACTGGTGTTGCCGTTGATGGTTGTGGTGGTGAGATTAGTACCGAGAAGTTTTTTTTTTCTTTCTTTTCTTTGGACTATTTCTCTGTTTCCATATATATATATATATATTGGACACATTGTACCACCATGGAATGCTCCATGCATATAATAAATAAATAAATATATGTCTTGTGGGGTGGGGATTTTTCAATCGATGCATGTGTTGAGCTTCCCTCGGTTGAATGAGAGGGGAAGGGTTAGAACTGGTGCTGCGGGGCTGAAGGGTGTGTTGTTTGTTTGAGGCGTTGATTTACTTCTCTTTTTATTGGTTTTGCGCGAAAAACAAAAACAACAACAACGACAACATGAATGAGTGAAAATGATGATCTGATAAAAGAAAATTCAGGCATTTGTGAGGAGGGGGGTCGATGTTGCAGAGTCCGAAAGGCATTAACATTCTTATCACAGGCACGCCTGGAACAGGCAAGACATCTCTCGCTGAGCTTCTTGCACAAGAGCTCGGGGACTTTAAGCATGTTGAGGTGGGGAAAATTGTGAAGGAGAATCACTTCTACAGCGAGTACGACAATGCGCTCGACACGCACATTGTCGAGGAGGACGATGAGGATCGGTTGCTGGATTTTATGGAGCCCATGATGGTGAACGAGGGAAATCACGTTGTGGATTATCACTCCAGCGAACTGTTTCCACGTCGCTGGTTTCACCTCGTCATCGTCCTGCGCGCATCCACGGAGGTTCTCTTTGAGCGTCTCACTGCGCGCAGGTACAGCGAACAGAAACGCGATGAAAACATGGAGGCTGAGATCCAGGGTCTCTGCGAGGAGGAAGCACGCGGGGCCTACGACGACAGTATTGTTATTGTCCGGGAAAACAACACTCTTGAAGAAATGGCCGCGACTGTGGATTTGATACGTCTGCGCGTAGAATCTCTGAGGGGTAATGCAGCGTAGTGACGTTTCAATCCTTTTTTTTTTTTTTTTTAAAGCGTGATTAAGAAAACCATTTACCCTCCAAAAGCAACATTAAATAGATGAAATAATTGGGTGAGATAAAGAGCCTGGCGAGTGGCCTCTCAGTTGGACGGTTTCAATTATTATTTTATGTCACACATTTTTTTATTTATGTTTTTTTTTTTCTTTTCCTGATGTTGTTTGTATACATGCCTCTGATCTTGTAACATCTTCAAAATGACGCTAAAGGAAGGAGCAGGTTTTTATTATCCTTGCGGTGGCCAGGTGTTTTGTTGTGTTTTTTTTTTTTTTGGGAATTCCACTTTTTAAATGCCGTTGCGTCCGAGGTTTCCGCCCGTGGGGTGTAATATGAACGACATGGGATACCCCTTCCGAGGGGAGTACAAAGTAGAGCCTCCGCTCAATCACGGCCACACGGGGGTGCTCCAAAAGGGTTCCACCGCCCTTATGCTCCGTATAACGGGCGCAAACCTTCTCATTGAGAAACTGCAGCAGGGCAAAGGACAGGTGTTGCACTGCGAACTCGGTGTGGACAATGGCCCTTCAAGGACAGTTGTTTTTCCATTCGGCGGAGGTGCTGTGCCCGTGCCCGGCGATGGCCATGAGTACCACCTGAACGCCGTGGTACAGGGAGGCGGTGGGAAACATCGTTGCAAGATCATTTTGAGTGGAAGTGAGGGGAAGAGTGTTCTACGACTGCGAGCGCCACCGGATTCTCGGCTCGCGGATGGCATTATGCTGACTGTGGACGGAAAGCGAGTTCATCCCAAAGGAGGCTGGTACGAGATTCCCATTCAGGCCAAGGAGTGTTCCTTAGGGATGGCGGAAATGGAGCATCCGAGGCGTTCCCCTTCCTCACTGGCAGTCGCATCATTGCCGCCACCCGCCACCATTTTGGTTCAGGCCACCGCTGGAAATCAAGACGATGCCGTTCTTTTCTGCAGTGGGAGCGGTGAGGCTATTCATCTCACACCGAACCGACCCTTCACAGTAGCGGTAGAAAGCGGTCCATTTACATTTCAGCTGCCTCGTGCAGCGGCAACACAGCCGTTC